GTGCATCGCCTTTGACCTTCACACTGCCTTTGACCTAGACTCTCGTGAGACCTGAAAGGCACACCAGTGTCCGGGGTATACTGAGGTAAGTACAGTGGCTATTTGTTTAAACTTTATAGGTGATACACCTATATTATTATTTTTAAATATGCAGTCAGAGACTATCGCCATCACTATCCTCCCTTAGGGGGTGGGACTGTCATTCACGGCTGTGTCCTGACACACGCGCACACTTTGTATTTTACTTTGCCATCTAAGGAAAGAGCCCCTGCAGTACAGGTGCTCCGAAGTACGCTCAACAACACTGTGTTTCAGAGCCTTGTTCATGAGCATAGTTCCACTCCGGATTGTTTTGGTTTTATACTATTTTAAATCAACTTAAATTTTATACAGAGAAAACTTCACTTTTTGTGTGTGTGGGGGGGGGGTTGGTTTTGTTTTTAGTCTTTTGGTTTGGTCTTATTTTTTAAGTTCACACGAAGGAATTTTCTCGTGAACTTGCTAAGTAGGGAGACAGAACAGGCCCACATCTTCCTGTACGCTGCAGCTCTCTCTCTCTCTCTCTCTAGGTTCCAAACACACAAGCAGGAGCATTAACAGCGTAGGTGTTCACACATGATTAAAATATGTAGTATGGTAAAACTTCTCTGGACGTGTAGGTTTAAGTAGGTTAACTTCCGGAGAATTTGAGCGCATCCCCCTCCCCCAACAGGCGTTGTGTGCACTGATGATCCGGGATGGGTTTCGGGCAGGAAGTCAGTTTCAGGGCGTGCACTTCTTTGGTTCCTAATGAGGCGTTCCCAAATGCTGCTGATGCGAGCCTTTGTGGCAGGATGCTGGGAAAGCAAGCAGTGTCTGGTCCTCAGACACCGGGAGACTCTAACTGGGGGGCGGGAGGGTACCAGATTCTGGCTCTGGGTGCTGGAAGTGGTGCCATCTGACAAGGAGACTGGCAGTCGAGCTGTGGGACCACACTGAACCCGGGGGAACTGAGTGGCTCTGATCTGAGCTTCCCATCTTGGTAAACTCTTGCCAGGTCCCTAGAGCTTGTCTGTGGATGCTCTCAGGGTCAGAGATGGCTTCTTACCGGTGTGCGCTGACCTCAGTTGTTTACCTTGGTTTGTTTGGGGCCTTTTGTTTTGTTTTGTTTTATTCCTTTCCAGACAATCTTCTTACTCTGTGGACCAGGCTGGCCTCGAACTCACAGAGATCCTCCTGCCTCTGCCCTCTGCCTCCTGGGTGCTGGGATTAAAGGTGTGTGCCACCACCACCCAGTTTTGTTTGGGTTCTTGGACTTTTGAAAACGAGAGAGAGAGAGAGAGAGAGAGAGAGAGAGAGAGAGAGAGAGAGCCTTTGGAGGCAGAGGTGCTGGGTCCCTCTGGAGCTGGAGTTGGAGTGCTTGTGAGCTGCCTGAGTAAATGTTGGGAGCCCAGCTTGGGTCCTCTGTAGCACAGTATTTGTTCTTAGCTGCCGAGCCACCTCTGCTTTGATTTGGTTTGGCTGGGTTGATTTTGAGACAGGCTCTCACACTGGCCAGGCTGCTGACCAGTGACCCCAGGAATGTGCTCACCTGCTTCCCCAGCACTGGGATTACATATGCACCACGGGGCCCTCGTGCCAGGCAGCAAACACTTTACTGACTCAGCGTCTCCCTGAGCCATCGTGTCCTCTTGCTCCCCTCCAGTCTACCAGCACTGCCCTGGCTCGTGTGACTCAGGAAGCGCACTACCGGTGTGTGTGAATTTACATGTGCTTGATGTTTTCTATTGAGGTGACATTTCGTTACTTAGAAGAACGTCACAGAAGTGATGTCCCATTAGGGCTTCATCCCAGGGTGCCTGCGTGTATCACTTCCAGTGTTGGTCATCTAACTCACTTCTGTGTGCCAGGTAATTTCCCTGTCAGTCCCGCCACCATTTTCCAAATATAACTCGGACATTTTGAGGGAACTGTGAGGGTCTGATGAAGCTCGGCTTCCCCTCCAGCTTGCATGCACCAATGTCAGCATCCGCTGATAGCTCTTGTCTCCCCTGTCAGTTTCTACTGAGGTGTCTCTGTAATGCCCCCATAGCCTCCCCATGTGTTATGAGTCTTGGCTAATTGGTGCATGGGGCAGGAGGGAGGACCCTTGTCAGGCTCGCATCCTATGATAGAAAAAAAAACAAGGTTTTTTTATTCACGTGTGATGGGTCAGGGCTTGGCGCCTCCTTGTTTCTGTGGGGCCTCTTTCCTCATGATCAAGGGTTGCTGCTACAGCTCCAGACAGCAAATATAGGGATCAACTCAATGACTATTGCATTAAGTCTGGACGACTCGAGCCCTCCCAGAATTCCCTCGATGACGCCACTTACATCTCCTCAGGCAGAACAATGATGTCACATTACTTCCTTTTCTGCAAGTCAGGTCGGAAATTTCATTTAAGTTTTCGGCCTTTCTGGAAGAAGTAGGCAGAGGAGAAGGGAAGGGAACGGGTCAGATGGTGAACCGGCCAGTGATGTCTGGCTCCACAGGGGAGAAGAGCAGGAATAATTAGTATTAATGGGAGCTCACTCTGTGCCAGCCCCGCTGTAAACACACTCTATGCATGAGCTCACTCTGCCCTTATGCCCACCCCATGAGGTCATTGCTAGCATGACCCTGTGGTAATGACGTGGAAACTGGGCGGGGAGGGTGCTTACTAGTACTGGGCCTGGGTGGAACTCGTGCGGCCTGCCTCCAGAGACCCTTCGGGCTAGGCTACATTCTATTCAGCCCTGTCCTAATTCTCCCAGCCAGGGACAGAGGCGGCAGCCTACTTTGCTTTACACTTGTATGTAAGTTCCTGCCACTAGTCTTGGTCTGGTTCTGAAGTGCCCCGCCAGGAGTCTGTCCGCCTTGCAGGAAAATACTCCTGGTCTCCCTTTCCCTAACACACAGTACCTGTGCCCTTAGCTACTGTGTCGAAAGGGTCCCCACTGTGCCCATGCTTCCTGTGAGCCTGTGTCTGTGTTCATCCCTATAGTGTAGCATGCTGGCAGAGTGAAGAGGCCTCACCAGAAGGCCACAGGGCCGCGGGCACCTTCTCGTGACTTCAGGACAGCCTTCTCCAGGCCAGTGAAAACCAAACAGGATGATAAGGGACCCAAGAGCACTGTCTCAGAGTCCAGACAGCCCGGGTTCCAGACCCGGGTGGACCTCACTGCCTGGCTCCAATTGGGCAGATTAAGCCATAGGAGCTGCCTTTTGTCCCTAGAAGTGGTTTCAAAGGTTAAATGTGCTTGCAAACATAAGAACCCTGGACAATCCCTGGTACAAAGGTTAGCCAATGGATGCCCATGTTAATTCTGATGGCGGTGCTGTGTGACAGTGGCAGCTCATATCCATTAGCCCTTTGAGCTACTGCGGCCACCACAGTACCACCACAACTACGGCCACTAGCTCTCTCTGCTGCCACTGGTGATCCTTCCTCGCCAAATTCCAAACTCTCGACGCCTGCATGTAACAGAGCTGTCTTCTGGCAATGGGAATTTGCAGCTGATGCTCGGGCCAGGAGTTTTTATAAAAGAAAACAGGAATTTCTTTGGTGTGTGCCAGGAACCCACAGCTGTTAGTCTCCTAGCCCTGTTTCTCATGAAGTCCCTGGGCTTTTTAGCACTGGCTTTGGGACTGTGGCTGCCCTTGACCTCTGTAGCCAGAACACATGGATGCTTTGTACAGCCCATCACCCGAGTCCCAAATCAGACCTGACAGTGTGATTTATTCTCTCGGACAGAGTGGGAGGGCAGTGCCCCAGTGGGGGATTCTTCGGAAGGCTGTCAACCCGAATTAGCCCACACCCTTCGCGTGTCCTTGCTGCTGAAGCATCCTCCAGCTAATAGGGTTTTCCGGGGTGTCTCTGGGGGACTGGAGGTTGGCTGTGAGCCCTGAGAGCCTGTTTGATGAGGCAGCCCGCAGCCTTCTCTAAAGACATCAACTGTGGGTGGGACCTTTCATCTTCCTGGGTCAGTGTCTTGTCTGCCCCTCCCCCTGCAGCCAGAGGCCATCTCATCACAGCGTCTCTGCTTCTAGTGACTTTATTTATTCAGAGAACTGCCAGCCGTGAGTGAGATGCCGAGGCAGCAACAAATTAACATGAATGTCATTCCTTACTGGGGACATGTGACACATGGCCGGCCAGTCAGGTGGAGCTGGGTTGATGCTGTGCTTCAGGGGCCCCGGGCCTCAGGCTTCACAGCTGAGGGACACAGCTGGGGACTGGAAGGAGGCAGAGTGAGCAGGGCTCTGAGCCACCTCGAGCTGGAAAGGCGCGGAGGGCATGGATACAGTGGCTACCCAACGTGTGTATTTATTCAGCCCCTACTGCATACCTGCTTGGGACTCTGAAATGTGAAGTGATCAAGTTCATCGTCTATAGGCGTGTGTGGCTGCTGTGCTCAGTACAGAAGGTGCAGAAGCTCCGGGTGTCTGTGGGGAGGGAGGGGCTTGACATGTACAGAGGTATCTGCCATGGGAGGAGGCCCAAAGGCTGTGCACTGACTGAATGGAGTCGAGAGGCAGGGGACAGGATCCCAGTAAAGGGGCAAGCAATCCATAGAAGGGGCGGGTGGAGCCAGAGGGACCTGGGGTTCAAAGCCAGCCTGGGTTACATGAGAGACTGACTGAAAGCAAACACATGAAATCCTAATGCTTGGTATTTTACATGGGTAGTAAATGAATTTAAAAAAACCACAAAGGAAAGGACATGGCTGCTCCTAGGTATGATGGAAGGTTTATTATAGATACGAAGGAGAGGGTAGTCAGAGGCAGGGACATCAGGGAGTATCCAGAGTGGACAGGACCCATGTGGGGGAGGGCAGAGGGGAACCAGGTGCAGCAGCCAAGAGGACAAAGGTACAAAGGGGGCAGGTGGCCAAAATGGCCGGGTTATATAGGGAAGAGCCTCTGGGGCAAGGGCAGCTCAGCTCCTGGGCTGGAGAGTCGTGGTAGAGGGCAGGGTGTGCCAGCCACACCCTGTAACAGGCAGGGACTGAGGGATGCTGGGAGCATCTGGCGGCCAGGTCAGCCTTGATTGTTAAGTAGGCACCCGCAGCCTTTTGTCCC